TCTAGGTTGATTGTCCATTGGCTCTACTTGATCCTCTATGAATCATGTTGACACTGACAGTATGCATCCTATCTCCAAGTAGTTCATCCCTGCCCCATGATCCATTTACTTTGTCATTTGGTTCCTGCTGTGAGATTGTTCTGGTTGGTGGTTTACAAATGGCACCTCTAGTCTCTTTCCAATGGCTTCAGAGCTGAAGTTGGATTACTCTGGTTGGCATTAATCTGCGAGTTCTATACAGACTACCTCAACCAGTCTCAGACTCACCACCAGATGCCACACCAATGTAACAATACACAGTCTGTGTTTCCCCCTCATACTGAAGGTAATCCTTCAGGAAGAGTATGGCTAGCCACTCTGGATGCACTAGAAATCAGCAGCTCTTCTTCCTGTGTTGTCAGATGTAAAAATATCAAAGTCATCAACCTTCCCAACATCAGCAAATGTCCTATGACCAGGAGAGATCTTCTCCTAGACATGAAAATTCTCACAGACAACCATCTTCTCTTGGCAAAAAGACTCTTCCTCTTGGTTGTAAGTCTTTCTAATTGTTGAAAATTCCATTTCTAAAACTGTGAAGCATTATAAAACTTATATCACATAACAATAGAGGTAAAGGGCAGTTCAAACTTCAGCAAATATACCAAACTCCTCAGTAATGATATCCTGGTCACAGCACCAAAATTTTCTCTAGCTATCTACTCTATGGTATATCCAAGTGTAACTGAATTTACTTCAAAGCTATATTGGATAGGTCCATTATATAACAGCAGATTTGCTCAAAATATAGGTTATGAAGTAATACTGAAAATCTTACTAAATGAGTAGATGTCAAATTAAGCAATGAAACTGGACACAAAGTTTAATATCAAATTAACAATTTTTTTATAAGAATACAGTGTACATATTTGCTGTTTGTTACATGGGATAGTTGCTTTTACTGGATCCTCTACATTTAGCAGTTCAAGCTGAATCCAACATCCCTTAAAGAGCACGAAACTTTGCCTATTCCCAGAGTGACTAGCACTACCCATATGGATTATCATTCTCATTTCTACATAGGTGGGATTATAATCTCTACGTATTACCTAAACAACCGTTCAATGACACTGTTGTGGATATCCATACACAAAGTATCATAATGAGCAATGTACTCCCTCTGTTAACAGACATTACCCACCCTGAGAACAACAAATCAACAAAAATAGTTTTAGAATGAAACCAAACAAGTAGCTTTTTTTACCATGACACACATTATTTGAAACTTGTATATATGCAGAATAAATAATATTAATAATATTATAAAATGATAAAAACTTATATTTATTCTATTATCACATAAATATCATGCATAAATATTATATATATAAATGTAAAAATTTTACAACACATTTCAATCCTGAATACATGATGGAAAACAGAACTAAATTTGAGACGAACATGCTTGTCACTTTGGAATAGCCAGGCCCTTCCAAATATCCCTTTTCTCACTTGTGACTGTAGTGTTTACTTTGTATTAAAACCTTCGACACAGTAAATTGGCCCATTTAATTTTTCACATTAGTTTTGTTTAGTTAAACTGAAGTCTTTGTGCTGGTTCAAGCCAATATATATTTGTAGCTGTAACTACTGTCATACTAGTCTTACAGTATCTAATCCATTTACTCACTCCTGCTAAGCCTAGGGGCATATTAAATGAAGTACTCAAACAACATATATATATATGTCTTAACCATGGAATTATTCCTCAAAAATATAAAAACAATGAAAATGTGTGATAGATAAAAAGGCTAATAATCAAATTATTTTATTCTGTACTATACAAAGGTTGAGTAGTGAGTACACATTTTATCTTTGTATTGTGCATCAAAGTTGCACATAGTTTGAATGTTGGTGTCTCACAGGCTCATAGCAACTACAATATTTAAACAATGAGATGCACAATTCATATCAAATGTAAGAGTATGTTAAGTTGTAATGATGGTTGCAGCACCTTTTAGTGGCATCATCATAGAATTGACCACAATGGATATTTGGATATAAACCACAGCTAGTTAGACACAATGTGATTCCAGTACCACATTCCAAGAAATTAATCAGATCTTCCCATATGCATGGCTCTGGTTCTTTGCTACCTCCCTTGAAAATAAAATCAAGATATCTTAGAACAATGCTCAATTGTTCTTTATTTGAATCATCAGCAAACTCATCAGCTATAGCACTGACCTTCTCAATAATTGTTTTATGAATTTGTTCACCAGTAACACTTATCAGCTCATTCTGATCTTTGACATTTTTGGCTGCAGATTCCTTGTATTCATCTATGATGTTCTACACTTCACTGCAAAATCTAAGATATCCAGAAAGTTTCCATGACTGATGCTAGGACATTTTTCAATGTCTTTTCCACTGTCATGGAGACAATGGGGGAGAATATTTTGGTGACCACAGAGGAGTACCACATCAATAATGTTCTGAACCTTTAGACAGTTGGCAGCAACACTTACAGTAAGGCCTTTATCCATCACTCTTCTTACAGTTTTTTGCTTCCCCTCAATCACATCAATAAAACTTGTTGCCATTTTCACTGATTTTCTTTTTGTTCATGCTTGGTTAGCAATGAAAAGACCTTTGTGAAACTGGTTATAGGGTGGTTGATTGAACCCCAAAGACATTGCTATCTTGACTTTTATCAAAAACACAGCCAGGTTTGGAAGTACTATCACTTAGAAGTTTATATTCCTCATTGTCATATAGCCTTGTCTACAACTATGCAAAATTTTGTGCCAAACCATTTTCGGAGAACATGAAGTAACAGAATATGACAATAATAGGCCAAATAAGCATGCAATAAGCTACACCTCATAAGTTTATATGTAAGTTTATGCAACTTATAATAAGTCTAGGCCTATACTATATGACTGGGTTAATGGTAATACCTAGAATCTAGGTCATATCTGCATGCATGTTTAAGGCAATTTAGGTATTTCACCAAAATGTGGGCTTACTTCTGTGCAGGACCTTTTTTCTAAATGTTTCAACATTAACTTGGTGTGGCATTTATGCATTACAAAAACCATTTAGTAAGTATGACACTATTATTACTATTGATTTGACTTTAACCTTTCCCAATATATATGCCTGACATTAAAATCTCCCATAATTATAACCTCATCAACAGTTGAATTCTTTATCTCACTATAATATAAGTTTAACATAACAGCAAATGTACAACGTTTCGACAAGGTTTTGTCATCATCAGGTAGTCTCAAAGTGGGTTCCTCGTCATCAAATTTATCTCACTATAGTTTCTCATTAATATCATCAGTTTCATTTGGTATCCTGTAACAACTAAAGGCCTCCTACCCTTACAACCACTAACAGAAACTCACATATATATTTAACATCATTGCTACTAGTTTTGATATCCTCAATTTGAACAGAATGTTAATGTGCAGGCCTATCTCATTGCTCTTAATTCAGTTCAATCTGTATGTATCATACAGATAACTCTACAGTCCCCCCCTCCATGTAAACTTCTTGACTAACTCTTTCTTTGTGAGCAAAGGTTCATTTCTATTAGAAACTTGAATGTGAATAGTAACCGAGTCTGTCTTTAAAGCTTTTACTTTGCACTCTCTCTTTCTTACTTGACCCCAATCCGATCTTTACTCTAATACTACCTAATTCATGTTTGGCTTTCTTAACTTCTGCTTTATTCTACACCCTATCATAGTGCAACCTTACAAATCTCTTAATCAGAGCCCATGACTAAACACAATACTCCAAATGTAGCCTAACCAATGATCTACATAATGAAATTAGAGCCTCTTTAGACTTGTATTCAATATTTCTGCATACAAGCCTTTTATGTAGCAACTAGTCAAATGCTTTATGAAAATGCAGATAAACCCAAATCCACAACCATACCCTCATCTACATCAGGAGTAACCTTTTCAAAGAATGTCAAAAGATTAGTAAGGCAAGATTTTCTTCTAGACTAGTGAAATTGTGCTCACTATCCAGCAAGATTAAAACTGTGTTAAGTGACTCTTACACATACATATGTACCCAGTAAGGAAATATAACTAAATGTTTTTCTCTTCTTTGTTTACAAGAGAGGATGTACCCAATATTCATCACCCTGAGCATTGTATGGTAAATATTAGAGCTGACCTAGTTCATGTACATATGAATTAATTGTTGGTTTTCTTCCTGGTAATAGGAGTATTTTAGTGGAGAACAAAGTTCAGATCTGGCAGCCTTTCTATCATTTTTGGTACGTTGATAATGGAAAGATCCCTATAGCCTGGAGAGTTGCTGCTAATGTTAGGCCTATTTTTAAAGGTGATAAGTTGTTCTGGAAGTCACAGGCCAGGCCATCTCTAGTGAAAAGAATTTATGCTATAACTTCTAATATACTAGGAAGATTGATATATTTTTTTTCCATGAAGGTAAGATTTGCATCTGGTACATAGTTTGGAATTTCCACATTTTCATACAAAGTCCTAAGGCTTCATATGCAGTTTCAGATTATATAATTATAATTTATGCGTGTCACATACCCATAAAAATAAAGTAAAAATCCAGTGACTGGTAGTGGTAAACAAAGCTCATCTGATCTAAATTATAAATGGCAGCCACTGGCTACCATTTGTGTGTGGTTGGATAAATTAGTGAAGTTTACAATTTATTTCATTTTCATCTCACTGCCTTTAAAATAAGGAGGGACAGGGATATAAATTCAACATTTTATTTATATTTTCACTGACAAATATGAAAACAAAACTCAAGCCTTGGCCACTTGCTCTCAACTTTAAAGTTTAATTCTTCAGACTGCATAAACTTAAAATAAATGCTACTTGCAAGACATCATTACCACTTTTAATTTTATAAAACATTATATAATACAATTTATATATATTATCAATTAATTATCACTATTGTACTAGTATGGCTACAATACAATACGTATGATGAGATATACAAAATTAACTTACGTTAATTTTGTCGTTGAATAGTTTTGTAACCGTAGTACTAAAGTCAACCTGTGAAACTGAAAGTTGTGTAGGTCTATGCCTAACTGTAATTAGATTGGCTTTACACAATCTATACATTATCACTATGTGCGTTAAAATAATACCTCATAAGACTAAGAGATCAAGTAGTATTTTTGTACCTAATTTCTGAAATTCTAAATGTATGTAACACGAACTGTTTCGGACCTTTGTATTGTTACAACAGCGGAAGTCGCGTGACGCTGGGGGCATGCGCGCTGGAGTTCCTAGAATTATTAGGGAACCCCGCGAATGTCCCAGTGTTTGCTAGACGCCCTCTTTTTAAGTATATAAGCCTGGCAAAGAAAGCCAGTGATATAGGCAGATAGATTGCAGAGATATGCAGATAGATTGAAGAGATAAATAACTGGGTCAAGCGAACAGTAGGCACCGTAAATAAAGTGTGTGAATCACCGTGATTTACAGCGTGTGTTATAAAGGTTGTTAAGTTTAAAGTGACTGGGAAAATTCTGTGTATTACAAAGTCGTATCGACAAAGAGTAAACTAGTTTTA